TAGAAATTTAGTAACATCAAAGAGGCAGATTTAAAAAAATAGGAAGGCGGTGAAGCTCCACCCATATTCAATTAAGAAACGTACCGATATTTAATAATTGCAAGCTGTGTTGTGTGCTTAAATGTTAAAAAAATTATAGAATTAAAACACAAGTACACAAGTTTTGTTGCCACTTATGAACTATGAAGCTATGCGGGCCGTATTTCGAATACTTGCTTAGTATAAGCAGGATCTATCACCGGCTTACTTACTGGACTAAAGGGCCTTTGATAATTCTGGCGCCAATAAAAGCATGTGGCCATTTAAATTTCAAATTTAGAAGAAAAAGTCAATTGAAAATAAGAACTGGAAGAAAAAGGATGCATCCTTTTTTCTATTCTAAAACAAGAAAATTACTGATATATTATTTTTTTATTAAAATATACACTTTAGAATGCGTGACCACTAAACTGTACAAAACATCGGGATATTCTGAGCAAGTTGAGTTAGTTTAGTTAACACTAACTTTGCTTACTTTCGAGTGTTCGGAGTGCGGGCGACGTTCTTCCTAGATGAAATCGTATTTCTCTTTTCTTTTCCATTAATTATTTTCTTTTTAAAAATAATAGGATTCATCCAACATTTTTTGGACGATGATGATGATAAGCAATATGAATATATAATATATTATATTTACATGCTTAATACAATTTTGCATTAACTCAAAAATAAAAACAAATCTGAAACATGGCTTTGAAATTATATATTTAGAATCAATTAATCAAAATTTTTCAATTTATTCTGACATTAGTATTAATACTACCTATATAATCGCGTATAAAGAAAGTATTAAAAATTGCCTTTTACGATATACTATCTGTAAAGAAATCCTTGATATATTTCGTATTATTTTTACATGTAATAATTGTATGTTTTTTAACATATTCCTTTTTGTTGCATTATATATATATCGCTATCGTATCAATCCCATCTTTCAATTATAGCTATATATACCAATATAACCCTCAGAAACCCTTACTCTCAGCTAAACTCGATACCTCCACTTAACGGTTCATTAGTCAATTCAGTGAGATATTTGCGTATATAAGTTCTTCTTATATAATAGTCTAAAATATTATCTACCTGTAAATCAAGTTTGATTGAATCCGATCAGCAGTTTAAGTAATATTGAGTAACTAATATTCACACTAATTGTTAGTTCCAGCGAAGTGTTTTTACAAACTTTCATATCTCTAATATTTATAATATCAAAGTGTTGTTTCTATTATTATATTATATTTTTGTGACTATATACACCGACATTTTATGTATTAATCAGTTCTCTTTTATTTTTAAATATTTCTTAAGTAAAGACTGTCTGGTAGAGACGCAATTTTAGCGTTATTACTGTTTTTTTCTTAATTATGTGGTATTATCTTAAAAACATTTACTAATTGTGGTTGTCTGTACTACCAGTACTAAAATAATCGATATCAATTAGATGGAAATAATAATTAAATTTGAATTTTAAAGTGATAATTTAAAAAATTGTAAATCGCTCCAATAAAAACATCTTCACATAATATTCCTACGTACAAAATTTACTGAAAAAAAAACATTCTATTATATTTATTAAGTTACCAAAATTAAAAACTACATGAAGCATGTTTTATGTATGCATAATTTATTACATTTATAAATTTCCTATGAATAATTCATAACATTGTTCTCTAAGTTAAATATTTCAATATTTTTGTTACAAACTGTACATTATCATACGTGCCACGTGAAACTTTGATATATGAATAAGATTTTATGCTAATAAAACTTTTGCTAGTATCCTAGGCGGTGCAGACTCATTTCATTATCATGTTGTACGAATGAAAGTGTTCGGTATTCTACAGAGGAGGATATTTCCATAATACTATGTTAAGATATGATAAGATAATCATTTGCTTAAAGGAATACTAATGTACTTCATTGAATACAACATATAAAATATTTACTTGTACTTAGATTGTGCTTCATTGATTTTGAAACGAGAAAATTTTGGATATATATTATTACTTACTTGCATATAGCGCGTAGTATTTTTTGTGTTGTGGAAATGACAAATCTGCTTGCAACTATTCTCGTTAGTAGATGAAATGGGGTTAAACCGTAGTGGTTCCCAATGGATCAGAGATCGCATGTCGGCCTGACAATATCATTTTCTGTAGATTCAAATGTATCGTACATTCCCGTATCTACAGAAAATTGTAAGCGAGACAAGTAGGATTTCTCATAAAATCTTACATCGTTAGCCTTAAAATATATATAACTATAATAATGTTAAAGTATTAATATAAGTATTATACGTAAATATAACTGGTAAATGCATAATTAATGTCTAAAATTTCGTACAAACATATACATTATCAACAAATGAATTTAACTTGTAAAACAGTCTTAACAAATGATCCTAAAATCCATCAAATTGTATTGCAACTACAAAGATTATAACGAAAAATTGTACGTACTCTAACAAATACATCATCATAAACTATAAATTTAACACGCTATATATCCGCTTCTGTTATATTACTGTTATTATTAATGTCTTCATTCAACAAAGAGGGCATTGTGCAATGAAAGATTATCTCAATGAATGAGTATTTTGTACGTTGATTGTAATGTACACTGGAGTTATATCGGATTTATGAATCAACATTAAAAGTAATTAATATCTTTTCGCTTTTAAGTTGCTTTTATTTCGCAATATTGCAATAGTGCAATATTTAATGTATATTCTTTAATGAACTATTCAGCATATTTTATTTCCCCATTCGATATTTCCAATGGGGAGATAAAACATGCTAAACAAAAAGGTATTAATATAATATATCAATACTGTATATGGAATACATACACTGAATTTATAGGAGTATATTGTTTATTAAGTACTCATCCCTGGTTCTCACGTGTTTACATTACAGTACATGAAATATACATATAAACTTTCATCTTGAATCACTATTGCTAAAAATTGTATTAAAATCCGTTGGGTCGTTTATAAACATCTAAGGGAACAGACAGTGGAGGACAAGGGAAGCGACTTCAATTTATACTACGCAAAAATTGCAAATTATATAATTTCTGATTATTTACATCCGACTCTGTTTTCAGATGTGGCGCTAGAATAAAAAATAACTGCTTAATGAGTAAGTTTACTTAAACAAAGATGGATAATTTAAATTAAATTTTATTTTACTACTGCTATTATTAATTAGTTTAGATACAAATAAATAATAATTAAGTTTCCTATTTTTATTACTCCTTGTTATGCCACATTACATACTATCATCTACCTCTAAAATTACTTGGCATATAAAAAAAATGTTTTAATATGGATTAAATTATTTTTTATTTATTTGCCTATAGACGAAAACCCACAAGTATTTCATTTTAGAAATAAATGTCTCTTTTTTTACAATATGTAATAGCTAAAAAAAATATTTTTGCTTTCTGAAGCATAGAACCACTATTAAACATGAAATAACTGACTTAAAAGATGATTTTCGAAAGCAACAATCGATTTCTTTTCACACGTAATTTTAGTCGATTTGACGTAATAATAATATCATCACAATAATTTATCAATATCCATTAGAAAGGTTATTCTCATAGCAAATCGATTTTCGGTGAACTTTCGAACGTTATTGATATTAATTTTGGAATCGTTCCATCATACGCTATCATGTTTTTTAGTCGTTAACGATCTCTTTGTAACTGCCAGGTAATTGCTTTGTGAAGTAATATGTTACATATAACATATTTTCCCATGATATATAATAGACTAAGAAACTTTAAGCGTTTTGCAGTATATTTTAAGTGTCTTTTCGATTTGAATTCTTTATATAATATTATGACTTATTAGAGAATCACCCCGACTCTGCTCTCGTGCATGTTTTATTTTAATAATAAATGTTACGTTAGTAGTTACTTAGTTAAATCGGATGGCAACATTAGGTCCTCAGTTATGGACCTTGTTTCTCAAGTTTTTTTTATTAAATTGGAATGGCAAACAATACGACTACTCACCTGATGGTAAGTGGTAATCGTCGATTATGTGCATGAATAGCACAACTTATATTATTTTTCGTTACTTCTCGTAAGTTCCCATACGGAGCACTATGATGTCATATGTGTACATCCGTTAAATTATTTTATTACTGCTTTATCTTATCCGTCAACTGAATTACATCTTGTAAAGTAAAATTATTGGTGGCTAAAATAGATAAGACTGAGGCACCGACGCAGACAACTTTTTGCAAAGTCTGCTTAGGCAAGTTTGTTTAAGTAAGTTTACTTAAATAGTAGTAGCAATACTATAATACAAACATAGACTCCTATTTTTTTCTCAGAATTACTCAGCGATGATCTGCTAACAAATCTGTGGCAGAAATATATCTATTGTATGTAATGGATTAAGGAAATGCATAACGTACATTTGTTGATAAAAATTATAATCTATCACGAATAAAATTAGTAGTTCTCCTTAACTATTATAATAACACTTACATACGAGTAAGATTATGATTGTCAATGTAATTAAACAACAAGAGGTAATAAATTATATTTGCTGCTTGTACATATATGCTGAATATATCTATCAATAAGAGTACAAGAAAAAAATGTCACGCTTGAAAGAGTTAATACATTGTGGGAGAAAGAGTTAGAATAATATGATTAATGAAAACATTGTCAACCCAAGTAGAATTCATTATTCATATAGATCGAGCAGTGAGTAATCTCGAATCTTATCTCATCCTTGCTGGAACGTGTCTCGACCTATGACCACCCGAAGTTACACGCCGCCCATTCATCATCAAAACGTAAGCTTTAATTCAGCTCAATCAGTTCGGAAATTTGGTATGTATGTAGGTAAACTTTCTCCGGGTGAAATGCGTGGAGGGGGCACCGCGACCTTGTTAGAGGGAGGCAGAGCCACCTGTGCCAACCACTTGTCATTGAGAGAACGGCGCGCGCGCACCTCCCGCGTCGTATAACGGACGACCACGTGGTTTTAGTGGGATTGTGTGTGCGAACTGTGTGTGTGTTGGAACGTTTCCTGTTTTTTTTGTTTTCGATTCCAGTGGAGATTCGACGGTATGTACATAGATTATTTTAGTAGTAAATGAATAAAAACATGTTTTAAAATAATGTTTTTATTAATTTAAATTAGTTTTCATTTGAACTCAGTAAATCCTTAGATGAAGAATAGATTACAGTTTTATATGTTTTTATATATCTAGTTTTACTAATCCGCGCTTATTTACCGCGCAAATAATTCTTCACAGTGTATATATATATACATATATTAATCTTAACATATCTATATATTAAATTTTATGTAAATCCGTTTTACAGTTCAATTCAGATTAGGTATATGATTTTCAAGTAATGATTAACTTTTATAATGTAAATGGGTTATTTATAATACATAGTTATTATATATAAATGTGAAAAACAATTATATATTATATGAAGTCATGAATCGGAACGGATCATATAATGTGGGTCGTCGGCCGTCGCCCGCGCCGCCCGCCCATGCAACCGCGGGAAATCTACTGACACTGACACTGTATTCTACGACGCGCCCACTTAATTTCAGGTCGTTGAATTTATTTAAATATTTTAACTATTTACCTACATATTTGTATAAAGATACGCGCATAATCTCTTAAATTATTAATACGCTATGGATTATATTAATATATTTGTTGTAAACGTGTTATGATAATACTTTTCGTGTTTATAAAATATGTTATTTATGCTTTAGTCCTAATTTTTCTGGATATTCAGCTTAAATTCACGCATTAAACATATCATATATATATTCTACATAGTTCTAACGAAGTTATTATTAGGTTTTCAGATGATATTATGTCCATTAGCATAATTGATAATACCTACGAGAAATTGACCCAGTTGTACCATATTTCATTAAATATCGCAATGTGTCAGTTTTAAATGTCTAAATATATTATTTCCACTATTAATGTGGACATTGTATTTATATTAATACTCTAGATGGTATACTCTACAAGTAAATAATGTATATCCTATAAACTAATATAAATTCTTATTGACTTTTATTGATATTTTCAATTAGCAAGTTTTATCTTGTTTCATTATATTTGACTAATTACTCAGATAATGCGATTAAATTAGTAGTTTTTATCAATTATTTAACTCAAAACAAATAGTGAAATGTATCAAAGTAAGTGTATTTTAAAAATATACATAAAATGTTTGTGGGCTAATTAGTGTTGTAGCTTTCAATTTTCAAATAGTATACATTATATATACATATTATAGTATATAGTTCTAGTGAATTCGAAATAATCTTATACCCAAATATTATTTATCATCACGAAATGCACAATTTTTTATACCGAGATGTAAGCAATTTGTCGTACTTTCTTTATTATATTTTTGTTGCGAAAATATGTGATAAATATTTCAGTAAGCAATTTTGAAGGAATAAATTAATAATGTAGACTTTAGATAAGTGTAACGTATATATCTGCAGCATTGATTATAAATGAGATTTTGTTCTTTCGTATTTGTTATATACGAGCCCAGCCAACGACTTTCTCCCGTAGTGTTTGGAACAACAATAGTTTATAACTTTTTTGTTTGTAAAACGATTGAAATGAACATGTACTAATTTTATGTTTAGCCTAGCACAATACAATAGTGAAAAGTTTTTGAACCTAATAATTTTTTTTTTGTATATCTGTCAATGTACAAAGAGCATTTTATTTTACGTATAAGTATATATTTATATTATAATTCATAGAAGTATGAATGTATTTAAATTACTTTAGCTTTAGGTTAAACTTTTACAAGGGAAGGGAATTGAATGTCAACCTTATAGTATGGAATTATACAAGTTAAAAACTATTTACACCTAAACACATGAACTGATATATCCAAAACAGTGAGATACCACAGATAATTTATTATATTAAAACTAAACAAGATAGCATTTTCGTCTGGTTTAAAATACTAATAAACATAACTAATCGTAATCTGAGAATACTAACCATTTCTAGGCGTCATGCACTTCCCCGTTATCAAATTCGAGTTCAGATGTGATACTTAACCTGAATATAAATAACAATCTTATATTATGATTCGATTATTAATCGTCACCTTAAACTCTTAGTTTATTTGTTCCTCCAACTCGTAATGTGTTACAATAAATATATTTATTATTATTACTTATAAATTAAAAATATATAAACATACTCGTATGTATTCCTAAACAACTTTGTTATCTCATTGTTACCGTAATACTTAAATAATTGACAGCGTAACACTTGTAACAAAATTGGGACCTTTCAACCCAGTAATTTAAATTACACGGTCCATTTTCGGCTCATTGAACGCATTACTAGACTTTTTTATCATTCATTCAAGACATTTCCTCGGCTGTTAAATGTAACTAAATAGTTTCAAGCTTTATTAAACATTCGTTTAGGCTCATTTTGTATCTCCAGTTAATTACAACACAAGGTAAAGTCTCAAGAGAAATTAAGCAGCCGGCCTTTAAGGGAAAGTCCTGATATCAATCTTGAACAACAGAGAAGCCGCTAGCCAGTCTACACTGATGTTGTTAGCGTTGACTAATAAATATTGCACAGTGCCTAAATATTCGTTTGATTATATTTAAATTTAAATTTAAGTGTTTTATTTCCTTTCAATATTTTAAAGCTTGATTAAAATTTTTTTTTAATAAGATAATTATTTCATTTTTACAAATATGTACATCACTCTAAGTATTCAACCGATTCCATTACATTATCGAGAAACGAAAATTAGTTTTTAAATTATACCTCTCAACGATACATTTGACTAAGATAATACAATGATTAGAACATATCATAACATAACATATATTACGTAAAATAAGGCAGAAAGGTGGCAGTGTACGTCTTGTCACTAAATAGCAATCTCTTTCAGACAACCTTATATTGGTAATACCTATATATTGCAAAGAAAGATGTCAGTTTTGTACATAATTAATCGAGGTGGGTTCAACTTTCTCGGATTATTGGACTTAAGAATATATTTCTGCAAGTGGATAAGAGCAATTTAGTCCCTTTACAAGTAAACAGGAAGTTTGAACGTTGGGAACTACGTGGCATTCGTTTAATAGTCTTTTAATCGTCAAGTTAATGATAGAAACCACCTCCGGCCGACTTCAGCATGAATTGGAATCAACCTAATGTTTTTTTTGTAATCCACAGTTTCTCTTGCTAAGGGAAGATAGGTTGAAACTTAATGATATATTCGCTTAGTTTCCGTAGGAAACGATGATTCCGTTTTCTACGGAACGGTTTGCGGAACGTTAAAATTTTAGTACAGTAAAATAAATATAGGGTCGTAAATGTTTTTTTAAAGATTTTAATGATGGTAAGGCACAAGTGAAAGGTGGAAGGATGAGGTCGAAATCATGATTAATATACCTATTAAGATCATAAATGACAGATTTATTTTATTAATCAAATATATGGAAACTTATTACGTGCATTGTAATAATTTTAAATTTTTTATACATGTTTCTATTTACCAAACAAACAATAAACTAGTTCACCTCTCTTCACTTTTGCCTACTATGCCCAACATTATCCAATGCAATACATAAATAAATAAATAACTAATTTCTGTCAAAGCATTTTACGCACTGCAATTACTTGACGAGTTCTTTTCAATTTATTGTACGGTTGAATTACATACATTTGTTTATTGGATCCAAATAATTTATTAAAACACTGATAAATGTTGAACCTCTAGTAGTTTTGCTGCTATAACTAGTAGATTTAGTAGTCAATTTGTTTCTGGTGATTAGAGAGATTAGATTATTATTCATAATGAAGTAAGAAAGAAAAAATAATATCATCGTTTTTTTTTATTTATTTTAAATCATAAATACATTTCACATGTTAGATATAAAAGATATATTATATATTAAATTTTGTATTAATAATATGCACATACATATACGATATTACTAATAAAAATCTATACATAGGTATCTATACAACATATTATTAGAAGTTGTCGTATAAATCTGTTAAGCGTTTACATCTCAACTGTCAAGATCAAGTAAAAGTTCGATCCACGACACATGAACCCGTAACTAATGAGTACACGTAACAAACTGTTTACGTGAGAAAATATTTTTTATGGTAATTATTATCTATTTAACGTTGGGAGCAACCTTTGTTCGGCAAGTTTGAGGTCGTAAAAAGGAAAGTAGTGTAACAACTACTCGTATATGTAGGTATGTTTCTGGAGAACCTATTCAGAATTTGACCTGCTATGTGTTTTTGTATTATTTGAATTAAATAGTGATTTCAACTTTTTAAAAAAAAATATATTCCCAAACGAGTAGTATTATTGTTTACTTTACCTTATACCTTACACTACCTTAATGATAAAAATAAAAATATATTGTGTAACAATATCTCTAAACAACATATCTTACTGATTCTTACTGACCTTCATTATTCGTTGGCGATACCTGAAAATTCTTAAGTAATTCAAGTTTGTTATGGGGAATATATAATAACTGCAATTTACACGATTTTGAAAGTTTTCATTACACGAATAGTTACTAATATTGATATTTGACTAAAATATCAAATTACGTATCACCTTATATAGTTACATAATTTAATAAGTATTATGTAATACTAATGATATATTATATAAAAAATGTCAAATATATTCGAATTCACAACAAGATTAACATTTTAAATAGGTATGTAATGATAAATCGACAGAAATTCTGAAGAGGCATCTTTGTGACTTTGATAAAATAAAAATAGCAATATTCCCAATGTTCTTAATTTTCGCAAGGTTTAAGACGTTTTTAGGGAACAAAATCATAAATTATGTCTCAATTCAGAAATTCACGTCGTTCTACGAAAAAGTGGCAAAGTCAATGCTACTCGCCTTGCGAAATAATCAAATTTTCATGGTATGACTCGGAAGTTTAATATTGCATAAGGAAATGAGTTCTTCCGTGGGTTCATTTTTGTAACGAAATTTTGCAGTATACAGTATTAATAGACTAAATTCGTAATGATAAGTGA